CTGAGTTGGAGGCGTCTGTCGTGACAACTGTCCTTCTGTGAACCATCCCCATGGCCACGCTCCGTTTCATCCAACGGGAGTTCTTCCAGGGGGTCAGGACTGATACACAGGCCTGACTCACCCTGATATGCAGGCGTCCGTGATGCCATGCATGGAATGGAACCCATGGCGAAAATATTTGTGTTTTATTATTTTTCCCACTATCACAGCGGTTGGATGCTTGGGCGCATGAACGGGCCTGTTGTTTGCACAAAACACATTTCCCTCTGTACCCGGAGCTGAATGGGGTGACAAGAGGTGTAAGAGAGTCTGCTTAAGGGGAGGTCCAGCAGTGGCGAGATCTGACCCCATCCTCTTCCTGTTCCGTGGATCAGGATGATGCCTGAGGCGCTGGGTCCAACGCAATCTTGGGTCGGGGTCCCTGGCGCTTAGAGTCTGGCCGAGCGAGAGCGCCCCCGCATCTGATGCGCTTTAGTGGGCTGAACAGCGGGGGTGGCAGGTGCTGGTTTCGCAGGCTGCTGAGTCGGCGCAGATTTTGGGCGAGCTGAGACAGCAGCAAAGCTGGAGCGCTTAGGCAGAAAATGTCGCATAGCCTGGGACGATTTCTGTGCCTCCATGAAGCGTTCAGCAAACCCTTCGACCGCTGGGCCGAAAAGGCTCTTGGGGGAGACAGGAGCATTGAGGAAGGGGATCTTATCCGCGTCCTTCATCTCCGTCAGCGTCAACCATAAATGGCACTCGAGCACCACAAATCTGGCCCTCGATCTCCCAATCGCCTGGGCAGTGGTCTTGGTGGCACGTAGTGCCAGGTCCATCGCGCTCCTCAGATCCCTGAGGGTAGCGGGGTCCAGGCCAGACTCGGCGGATGCGAGGATTTTGGCCTGGAAGACCTGAAGGACCGCCATAGAATGTAGCGCCGCGGCCGCATGTCCAGCGAGAGCTGAAGTAGTCCTACACGGCTTAGATGGGTGAGCGGCCTTTGCTCTCCAGCCGATGGCCGTGGGCGGGCGGAGATGCGCGGCCTCTGACTCATCTAGGGGAGGCGGCTTATCGTACCCCTTTTCTTCAGCGCCGTCGATGGAGGTGAGGGCGGATGAAGAGGCAGTACGGAGGCGGGCGGAGTATGGAGCGGGCCACGATCTGGTGAGCTCGTCGTGGACCTCCGGGAAGAACGGAGAGGTACGCTGACGAGGGGCCTGTCGGCGCCCCAACAGGAAACATTCATCCAGACGGCTGCGAGAGGGCTCCTCTGGAGGGGACCACTCTAAACCCAGCTCTTTGACCACCTCGGAGAGGATACGGAGAAGCTCGGTATCCATCCCGTCTTTGGTGGTGCTGGGCGCGGATGATGGCGAGGGGGTGGGGTCATTTTCCGAGCCCAACAGCTCCTCTGCATCCGATGCTGCCAGTGGCATGCTGTCATCAAGCAGCTCGTCTCCACTTCCCCCGAATGAGATCAGGTCGCTCGCATCAGCTAAGGGACGCTGATCAGACCGGGAGAAAAGGACGGGTGAACACTCTCTCTGCGGCAAGAGCGAGGCACGCGGGATCTGGGCCGGCGTGAGCTCGCTCGTGGCCGATCGCTCGACCCCTCTGCCCCGCTGTTTTTTCCTCACAGGTCCCTGGGAGGAAGAAAATGGGAGGGCGCGGGGGACGGAGTCGCTCTCTGAAAAGAAAGCGATCCGTGAGCGGAGAGAGGCGACACTAAAACTCTCGCAATGAGAGCAAATAGCTCCCGTGAGCGCAGCTTCCGCATGGGGTTTCCCCAAGCAGGAAACACACTCCTTGTGGCCGTCATTGGCATGCAGGGGAGACCCGCACGAGCCGCAATAACGGCGCGGCATTTGCAACAACGCCGCTGCTCTTTTAGAAGCTCTTTGAAGTCGCCGGATGGCAGAAGGGGAACCGGACTGGAACTGCTGCGTCGCTGGAGAAGCGGAGAAGGGTCAGCCGAGCTGAGAGGTCCCGATTCCAGCTGCGAAAGCGTGTCAACGGCGAGCGGCTTCGGATCAGCTTGAGACGTAGAGTCGTCGCTGAAGGAGAAAAAATCTGAGAATCCTGTGGCGAGCGCCCGCTTATATAGCCAGATGCCCCGCCCATTCTGGCGGGCTTCGTCGCCATAGGCTCGTGCAGCTCCGCTGCCGTGCCATTGGTTCGTTTTTAAAGCCCTGCACGAACCAATGGCCGCGCAGTTTCACTGCGTGAATGAAATAGGCTTCAGTTCAGGAGAAAAAAGGCTTTTTCCCATATGCGTCTTAATTAAGACGCAGCAAGAGTGAAGTATCGAAAGGGAACTAATTTTGCAGTAACTGTTATGCTGATGTTGTGGCTGGTCAAGCAAATGTTTGTGCTTGTTTCTGTATGATATAATTGCTCATATATCTATTAAAATACTGAAATTCTGGTCTATAACTCCTCCCTGAATTTCCCTCTGCCCTGTATCTTGGTCTCTCATTGGCTGTAGGTCATCGCCAATGTAGTTTTCAGTCAGAAATCATTGCACACAGAGTGATTGTGAATCGCCGACAGCTCCAGATATTTAGCATGCCAAATATTTTGCGGGCGTCAGCAACGTGTCGGCGATTCCCTCAGATCGCGTCTTTGATAATTCATACTGTGTGATTGTCACTCTCGTGAACGAGCACCGATTTGCCTCCGATTTCGGGCATTTGTTGGCGATTTCGCAAAATCTGTCGGGCGAGTGAAAAATCTGGCTAAAATCGTGCAGCGTGAACTCGGCCTAACGAATATGCTACAATGTATATATATATATACAGGTGCATCTCAATAAATTAGAATGTTGTGTAAAAAAGTTCATTTATTTCAGTAATTCAACTCAAATTGCGAAACTCGTGTATTAAATAAATTCAATGCACACAGACTGAAGTAGTTTAAGTCTTTGGTTCTTTTAATTGTGATGATTTTGCCTCACATTTAACAAAAACCCACCAATTCACTATCTCAACAAATTAGAATACTTCGTAAGACCAATAAAAAAACATTTTTAGTGAATTGTTGGCCTTCTGGAAAGTATGTTCATTTACTGTACATGTACTCAATACTTGGTAGGGGCTCCTTTTGCTTTAATTACTGCCTCAATTCGGCGTGGCATGGAGGTGATCAGTTTGTGGCACTGCTGAGGTGGTATGGAAGCCCATGTTTATTTGACAGTGGCCTTCAGCTCATCTGCATTTTTTGGTCTCTTGTTTCTCATTTTCCTCTTGACAATACAATTCAGGTCTGGTGAGTTTGCTGACCAGTCAAGCACACCAACACCATGGAAATAAATGAACTTTTCCACGACATTCTAATTTGAGATGCACCTGTATATATATATATATATATATATATATATACCATTTTTTTCTGCCAATGAAGTTTTTAGCAATTATTTGAAATGCATCTGATCACTCTACACAATAATCTAGAAACAATATGAATGAACACCACAACCGGTCAAGCAGCAAACTTTGCAGAACACAAAATTTGTGTCACTGCCAAAACTTTTGGCCATGACTGTACACGAGGCCACTAAGCCTACCTGCTCTGGAACATACAGAACAGTTACTTTACAGCACAAACTTAAAAACACTGTTGAGTAATCAGCCCATTCATCAGTACATTTTATGCATTACTTCAAAACACAACAGTCTTTTCTTCTTTTTTTATTTCATTAATGTTTTACAATATAGTACAATGTACCCATTTATACAGGAATTCACATATTAACAAGTCAGTTTGTGATGTAATAACACTGCTGCAGCCACTGGAAATGTCTCAGGAAATATGCTCACCGCATTAGAAACAGGCTTGTCATCTGAACCACGCGAGACATGACAATTTGTATCTGAAAGAAGCAACGGTGTTTTAATGAGTTTCTGTGTCGCTGACAAATACAACTCCTTTGATATGGACTAAAGTCCCAAGCCAAGGCCACTATAAAGAAAAAAAACCCCAACAGTCTAAAGCAGACTAAAGTTGAAACTGAATTAAGGATATGCAATTCTGCATCCATTACTGCTGAGAAAATGTCCAGCAGTACAAGAAACAAAATGTCCAAATTCACAACACACGGCACACACATCAAAATCATGTTTGAGAGTGGAATTCATGTTCAGTTCAAGGAAAGCATGATTCCATAGAGCAAGGTCGCACAGCCGCGAGAAACATAAATAATACGCATCACAAAAGAACGAGAAACACACGGTCGTAAAAATGGACCACCTTAGAAATCCATCATATTAGAAACATACCAACTAAACACCTGTACATAAAAACTCACTCGCACAAACATATACACGACCCAAACATACAGAAACCAGGCATTCAAGGACATATTCATGTGCTCCCGGATCTTCCCCACATTGGCTTGTATTGTATGAACATGAGCACGTTAATTAGGTGGCCTTAACAAATGTATTGCAGCATTTGAAATGACGGGGGCAGAGAGGATGCTGTGTATCCTACAGGTGGCGCTATCCCTGCGTGGCCGTTTTGGGACATTTGTGCTTACTTGAAGGGCAGCACCACCGGTCAATTCCCAAGCGATAAGAGAGCTGTCTTGCGAAACCTATTTATTTAAGCAAAATACCTTGAAAATAATTTAATAGTACTTGGAGAAGAAATTAAATAGCATTCCTATGAAGAATATCTGTGTTGAGAAGGAAACCATATTGTTGAGGTTCAATACCTTGGCTATATATCTTTTTAAATATGCATTTCTATCATATTTAAAAGAAAACAGGAAGAGAAAATCTTCCACTGAAAAACAAAAAGAAAAAGTCATGCATTCATCCACTGTCAGAAAAATGGAAAAAGGGGTGGAGGAAGAGCAAGAGGCCTTGGTGTCACCTTGGCAACCTCTAGCTCTGCTGTGCGGGTCCCCTTATGCATTAAGGGTGGGCGTAGGTGTGAGAAAGCATGACGCGACTTCACAGGTGCTGCCAGTCGATGCCCACCAAAGTCTGTAACCGGAGGACCCGCACCGGCTAGAGGAGGCACTACGACACGACGCGCCACAGCTTCTGGACCTTCCTGTAGCGCTCTTGGCACAAGTGTAATGGGTTTCCCCTTCTAAAAGAGACAAAACGCATCCCTTGATCTCACACATCTGTCAGAAATAATCATGCGCGTCAAATATCAGAAATGTGTCCCTGGACCACAAAATAAGGGTCATAAGGGTCAATTTTTTTTTATTGAGACTTATACATCATATGACAGCTGAATAAATAAGCTTTCCATTGATGTATGGTTTGTATCATAGGACAATATTTTGGCTGAGATATAACTATTTGAAAATCTGGAATCTGACTCATTTGGACCGCCTTTAAAGTGGTCCAAATGAAGTTCTTAGCAATGCATATTACTAATCAAAAATTAAGTTTTGATACATTCACTGTAGGAAATTTACACAATATCTTCATGGAACATGATCTTTACTTAATATCCTAATGATTTTTGGCATAAAAGAAAAATCGATCATTTTGACCCATACAATGTTGTTTTTTTTGGCTATTGCTACAAATATACCCCAGCGACTTAAGATTGGGTTTTGTGGTCCAGGGTCACAAATAGCGACGTACCTTAGCCCTTGGTCTGTTTCCCCATAGTCGTCCAGGTATGGGGGAGCATAAAAACAGCCCTTAGATTTGCCAGCCAGGAACAGGACCTGACTTTCCCGCACCCTGACAGAAATAAACACATACAAATGAAACCCTTCTGACAAATACAATGCAAAAAGCCATAAGGTTGAGTTACAGTGATTTGACTATGGTTAAAGGGCATGACAAAGTGAAGTGTCTGAAGTTAACACCACTGTACTGCATTTATGAAATAGCAGCAACAGCGATATGACCAATGTTCAATAAATAAAGCCTGCATTGAAAATAATCGGTGTAGGATTTACTTTAATAAAACAATTATTTAATTGTTTTGTTACAAAGTGCGTGTTCAGTGCTGTTCGCGAGTGTCACGACAGCAAACCACTTACATTTCTATGGAAATCTAGAGTTCCTGCACTTAGATTCAAGCAGCTATGTAGCTTGTTTGTGGTAATGGGAAAACTATTTTTAGAACGGCAGCGAAAATTTTAAAAGTATATAAAAAAAAAGGATTAGTTTGAACATCCTTAAACTGGTACTGTGCTGTGCCACGAGACGTTTCAAAACATTTCACCGGGTACTTTCACTTTTGCCGCAGAGACCTTGTACTCTATGTGGTGTAAATGTGTAGTATTTATGTCTGTACGATAATCCGCAGAGCTTTCAGTGGGCAGGACTGTTTTAAGTTATTAATAAAGAAACATGGATGAATGAGAAAGTAAATATGCGGCTGATATTAAAAAGAAATAGTAAAGTGCAATAAGTCGCGAAAGAGAATCTGCTACTGACAGGATGCTTTCTGTGCGTGTGCTCCGCATGTGCTTCGGATGCGTGCTTAAATGGTCAAACGCACACAGAAAGATGTCAAAATGCCTCTGAGTGGTTCCTCACACACACACACGATTTATGCTCCTCAGTTGGGAACTCAACCTCACAGTGAAAGCCAACAATTAATTCTATACTGCAACTTCTTTGTTGCATATTTGTCTATTGACTAGGGCTGCCAGTAATTTCCCACAAAAAAACACAACACTTACTTAAGAATATTTTATTAAACTATATGTCATTAAACCAAATGAAATCCAAAAGTAAAAAAAGTAAAGTGCAACATAAAGTGCAAGCAGCAAGTGTCCATCTCATAGTCCAAATCACTGAAATCAAAGTTCAGTATTATAGGCTTAATACACATATATAATAGCAATGCAATGCAATAATAAAAAGTTCAAATAAAGTATCAAAAGCAAGAAATCATATGGTTTTATTGAACAAAACTGTTAAAATACATAATGTATTATAAAAAATAGCGCCAACGGCCTGATGATTCTTTTTACACATTGCTATGCGATCCAATACTCGTTTAATATTAACCAAGCACCATTTCATTCAAATGTCCACTTAATCTTTAATATTTGGCCATTTATTTAGGACAGAAATG